TTGCGGCAGCGGCTGGATGAAAGGAAAAAAGACTCCCCCTCGTTGTACAAGCTCCACACGCGCACCGCCTGCTGCAAACACCGCCCACTACCCGCATTAGTCCCCACCCTGGCACACACGGAGAGAGAAAATGAGAGACAGTGAGAGTGTCCTGGCCAGACCAGGACATTCGATAGCTTTGCTTCAAACGGTGCCCCCCCCACACACAAACATTGACTCCGCCCGCGACTGTGACGGTCATCATCTCGCTCCAATAATAATTGGCGTTGCTGATAAACTACTTCGCACCGTCACAAAGCATTCCCACCCGTGCACGACAAAGACGAATGCAGCCCAGCGCTTACGTTCAACTTTGTCGGAAAAAAAAATGTGAACAACAAACCATCGCTTCCAGTCAACCGCTCCTCAACTCGCCTAGATTTTAGCTCAGCCAAGAGAGGCTCTCCTTAGGATGGACACGAGGCCGCAGGGGTGGGGAATGGTGGGCCATGAGGCAGGTTGCCGCTCGAATTTTTTTTTTTAATCAGGGTTGTTGACCACGGGCTCAGAGGCCCAAAGTGTCCAGTGGCCAGCAACAAATAGCACCTCCGATCAACACGGTTGGCTACGTACGGTGCAAAAGAAGTTCAACATACGTGCATGCAGCATTATTCATGGTGCAATCGGACAGAACGCGTTTGTTGTAAGCGCTGGGAACAGAGGCTATGGGAGGGAGTTACAGAGCGGAGCAGTGCGACGCAAGAAGCGGAAAGAGAAGCGGTGCGACCTGGCGTGAGAGCACCACGGAGAGCGAGGGGGGGAGGGGGGTGGCGGTGGAGCGGAGCTGGGAGGGGACGAGGCGACGGCGGCTCCTGGAAACGTGACACGGCCCGGCTCGGCACGGTCAAAGGGGCACGGGCATGGCGGCGGCTATTGCCCTTTCACACGACGGTCGTCGTCATCTGGCCGTCGTGGAAACGTGACGTGGGGCTCGGCCACAGAGGCAGCCGCATCCTGCGTAGAGGCACCACCCCGAACCGTGCCACGGACGTGGGTCAGGCCGGCGCGGTGGGATAAACTCGCTCTACCGGCACCGCATGGCTGCCTTGTTTTTTCCCCACCTTATCCCAACCTCTGTTCTTTTTATTCTCCTTTCCCCTTCCTTTCATTCGGGAGCAGCAGCTTTGGACCGCGACGCCTTCCATTGATCCGCTTGCCGCTCGTCGTGTAGTGGGGAAGGGGGTCGATGTGAAAACACAAACACCACTTAGCCGGCTCGGCCGGCTGCTTCCGTGAAACCGCGGTGCGCTCTGGGACCGCCTCCGGCCCGCGTGTAAGTGTACGACTGACCGGCTGGCACCCGCCTCAATAGGCCATCCTGTCCCTCGAGTAAGTCAAGGGCGGGGATCGCAGGTGGCAAGGCAGAGCGTTCGCAGCGTGCGCCTCACACGCACGTGCGGCGGCCGATCCGGCCACGAGGCTCGGCCGGAAGGTTATGCGAGTCCAAATAGTGGTTGGGGGTTGACTCAGCCCATCATCCCTCCAGGGTAGATAAAATAGCGACCACTTTGTGGGACAATCAACGGTGGTTGTCCTATGGATAGCCTCGACCCAGCAATAGGAATGGGGAAATTCCACCACTCGCTCATTCGAGTGGGAGATCCACGCTGTGTTTGTTTTGCGAGGTCATCAGTGATGCGGTGGTCGGCGCCCCTCACCTACGCGACCCTAGTTCAGTTTCTGGATGCTGCTTACACGAGTGGCTAACAACAGATTCAGCTTAGTATATATTCACAATAGACCAGATGTAGCCCTTACGAACACACAATACTCATGCTAAATAGTGAGTGCTATGAACGTGGCGACACGAGTTCAATTCCTGGCCACGGCAAACAACCGACATGGTGAAGTATGGTGAAAGAGCTGTCATGACTGACACATTATGGGGAAGCTCTCATTCAGCAGTGGATTATCACCGGGCATTCTTGGATTTATTTCTTTGAAAGGACCAAGGTCAACCAACCAATTTATTGTCGTGTAACTTTACTACCAAGGAGCGGGCCACGCCCGAGAGGACGTCCACTGGGGAGATGGAGTGGTGTAACCAGTTCGTGTGCAGCAGGCGCTGGGTGGATCGTTACGTCGCTGGATTGCCAGAGGTGGCGGCGGCGGCATGAGGAGGTCATGATCCAGCAGTGGATTGACCACGGCTGATGATGATGATGATAATATCTTGTGTCACAATTGGCAACATTCACTCTTTAAGTGAGGGAGCAGAAGCTTGCAACCGTCGCACGCGATGAACGCACACGCGCACATATATATATTCAGCGGAACCAGTTCGATTCCCTGTCCCAGCGGCAATCGACGATCTGCCCCCTTCCGACAACCCTTCGCCAGCCTGCACTGACCAGCGTGGTGAAGTATGGGCAAACCACTCCGGTGACCGACACGGCATGGGGAGGGTCGTCCTGAAGTGTCAAAGAGCTTTAAATAATTAATAATTACACACCCTGCACGCACGCACACACGATGACATCGGTTCAAGGCACTGGGAAAAAACAGTCGTGTCCACAAACGCCGGACTCAACAGGCGAGCCGAGGGAATGGAATCAAAGTCGCTGCTATCTTCCCACTAATGAATGACACGCACGCATGCGCACACATACACATGCGCACACACACACATGCGCACACACACGCATGCGCACACACACACACATGCGCACACACACGCATGCGCACACACACGCATGCGCACACACACGCATGCGCACACACACACATGCGCACACACACGCATGCGCACACGCACGCATGCGCACACGCACGCATGCGCACACACACATGCGCACACACACACGCACACACACGCATGCGCACACACACATGCGCACACACACGCATGCGCACACACACACGCACACACACACATGCGCACACACGCATGCGCACACACACACATGCGCACACACACACACGCACACACACACGCACGCGCACACACACACATGCGCACACACACACATGCGCACACACACGCACGCGCACACACACGCATGCGCACACACACATGCGCACACACACACACGCGCACACACACGCACGCGCACACGCACGCACGCGCACACGCACGCACACACACGCATGCGCACACACACGCATGCGCACACACACACATGCGCACACACACACATGCGCACACACACGCATGCGCACACGCACGCATGCGCACACACACATGCGCACACACACACACGCACACACACGGCGCACACACACACATGCGCACACACACACATGCGCACACACACGCACGCGCACACGCACGCATGCGCACACACACACATGCGCACACACACGCATGCGCACACACACGCATGCGCACACACACGCATGCGCACACACACACATGCGCACCACACACACACGCACACACACACGCATGCGCACACACACACATGCGCACACACACGCATGCGCACACACACACATGCGCACACACACACACGCGCACACACACGCACGCGCACACACACGCATGCGCACACACACGCATGCGCACACACACCACATGCGCACACACACGCATGCGCACACACACGCATGCGCACACGCACGCACGCACACACACACACGCACACACACACGCATGCGCACACACACACATGCGCACACACACACATGCGCACACACACGCATGCGCACACACACGCATGCGCACACACGCATGCGCACACGCACGCACGCACACACCACAACACACATGCGCACACACACACATGCGCACACACACACATGCGCACACACACACATGCGCACACACACGCATGCGCACACACACGCATGCGCACACACACGCATGCGCACACGCACGCACGCTTGCATGGGAGTCACGGTCAGGCTTGGCAGGAAGCACGGAGATGAAAGGATGTTTTTTGTCTCTGCTACGGGGCGCGACGGGGTTTAGGGCCGGGAGGCAATAGCTGATGCATTAACTTGGTTATTTACCGTGGTGAGGGATGACTTACCTTGGCCATTTGCTCTCTTTGTCATTCGTTTTTTTGTTTCCCTTCATTTCGAGTTTCTCTCCCACAGGGGCCAAGCCGCTCTCTCGAGTGGCTCCGTGCTCCGCTAGCACCGCCGCCGCCGTCTCGAAGACGCTCGGCCGGGAGGTGGGGGGGAGCCGACGACGGCAAAACGTGGCACCGACCGCGAGTGGGGAAAACAATTACGGTCGAGCCGCGCAATCCACCCCCCCCCCCCCAAAAAAAGAAAACCACCACCGGGAACTCTTGCGCTAATGTTTAAAAAAAATTAAGAAACAGACGCGCTGACCGCTTCCGTAGAAAACGAATCGGGGCGAGTGCCGTGCGCGGGTCGAGCGCCGTCGGCGGGAGCGAGCGCCAGAGTCACGCTCGCCACCGTCGCGGACGGCAGCCTCGACCGGAGTTTCAAGTAAAGAGAAGACGGAACGCGTTCATTTCCCCTCTTGTCACGAGAGCACGGCCGCCGTGACGGGAGACGTGAACGGACTCGATGAAGCAAAGAGGAGGCTAAACCCCCATCGGTGATTCTAAGAATAAGCGAGAGAAAGAGGCCAGGGCCAGCCCACGCAGCTGCTCTGCTTTACTCAAAATACCAAACACGGCAAATTCATTCCGGCGTTACCATCGCGTTGTCGAAAGCCAAAAGCATTTCGATTTAAAGCTTTCGTGACTGCAGGGATTCATCATCAGCCAAAAGCATTAGAAGGAGATGCGTCTCTCGGGCAAAGATGAAACCGAGCTGCGTCTTAACACGCACTTCTTGCCGCCCGGCATGCGCGAGGCAACCCAAAGCACCGGAGAATGCCCTGCGCGAGAGAGGGAAACTCCCAAATGTCCACAGGGACGAGATCGCTCACACTCCGCTTCTCAGATGGCACACGAGCACACAGATGCGCGCGTTTTCAATTCATAGGAATAAATAAGCATAGCTCTTTATCAATCCACTGCTGGATTAAGGCTGCCTCCCCCGCCCCCATGCTGTGCTGGTCACGGGGGTCATTTGACCATACTTCACCCGTCTGGTCGATGCAGGTTGGTGAGTGACAGGTGAGTGACAGGTGGAAAGAAGAGGGGGGGGGGGGCCTAGGTATATCCGCTCACAAATTCGTAGAGATTGTTCTTGCTGTTGGCGAAGTCATCTCTTTTCGAGCCTTTTCTCCGAGCGCTCTGGTCTTTGTTGCGTCGCTCGGCGAGGTTTGTCTGCGCGACAAGGAGGAGGAGGAACACGGATTACCCTGCGGCCACTCGCTCTGCGCCAACCCCCACCCACCCCCCCCTCCCCCCTTCCATGAGGAACCCACGGCGTTTCCCACGATGCTCGGCATGCGCGCGGTGGAGGGGAGTTCACGGAGGATCGGGACGAGTTTCGGAATTCTCGTGACGTTTGAAGATATTTCCCCGGACCTTCGGAACGCGAGCGTTGCGCGCCATGGAGCCGCCGATTCGTGCACTGCATTGTGAACCCAACGGCCTGGGTTTGATTTCCAGCCAGCAGCAAAATGAAATCTGAACCAGTCATCATCCTCTCTTCACTGACCCATTCTGAAGGTGGTGGTGGCAGTGGCCATCGAAATCAGTCAACCCATGGCACCTGGGTCTGTCCTGTGAACTCCTGCCAGCGGGCATTCTACACTTCACGTGGCCTTAAAATGCACATTAGCCTGGAACAAGCGCCGTGTTTGTGTCACCGCCACTTAATGGCGAATGGCGGTTGTTGTTGTTGTTGTTGGTAGTGACAGTGGTGTTGGTGCCTGTGTTGGTGGTGGCAGTGGTGCTGATGGTGGTGCTGACAGTTGTGGTGGCGGTGCTGGTCATGGTGGTGACAGTGGTGCCGATAGTGGTGGTAGTGGTGGAGGAGGCTGCAGAGCCGTAGCTCAAGCTTTCAGTAAAAGCTCCCGCTGGGCAGATTGGAGCGCGAGAAACACGGTGATGATAATAACCTGACTACGACTACTACGAGCAGCCCACACCCCGCAGCGTCAACCCCACAACACCCCGCACCCACAGCATGCACCAGACGGCACTCGCCACACGACACATGGCACACAGCACTCACCACACCACACGTACCACTCACCGCACATTCCCTCGGAAGCACGGCCCCACACTCTCAGCATGAAAACAGCCCCCTCTCGCTGCCACCCCTTGAACTCGGGTCGAACTCGGGTCGCCAGGTTCGTGGCGCAGTGAACCAACCGCTACACTACCGCTCACTAGGCACACACACACACTCTGACACCAACACACTCACACACAAACACAAAGATCCCCCATATAACAATAGACTGTTGGGGCAAGTGCTGTTAGCGAGCAGCACCTGTGAAGGCCGGCACGGCACACGAGGGGGTGGGGTGGCCAGCACCACGCCCAGTCGTCTTTGTCTCCCCAGTGGAGATGTTTACACACCGCACCGGGTACGCATTTAAGTCCGTCGACTTAGGAGAGGCTCAGTACCAGTTCAGATAATCGTCACTGTTGTTGGTGGCCACGAGCGGGAATCGAACTCGGGTCGCCGGGTGCGTAGTGCAGCGCTAACACCCCACACCTGAGTCGCGACCATCGGTGGGCCAAGTCAACTCATCGACCAAACATCGCTCCTCACGTCTTTTTTTAATCGTGGTCAAATACTTAGGCCTCTTTCAAAAGGCCACTGCACCCACATCCATCCGGCCGTCTCCAGAGAAGGAGGGAAACCCCCGAGCTTACCCCACGCGGCGGTGGTCGATTTCACAGAGCCCCGCCCTGTCACCTCCCGTCCAGCAGCACACACGGAGAGCACCTCGCCTGGTATACAGGAAGTCGTGGGTTCGATCCCGACCCTGCGGTATATTTGGAGTTTGTGCGTCTCTCCCCGTGGTCGCGTGGATTTTTCTCTGGGTCCCCTGGTTTTTCCCTCCACATTTGGAATCAACGTCATGCGTTGGAGAGTTTTTGGCTGCTATAAATTTCCACGTAAAAAGCCACTTCGTGTGAGCTATAATGTGTCTCAAAGTCGCTTCTGCAAGAGTTACATAGCTCAGCAGGCCTTACCTGGTAAAATAAAAATAGGTAGATAGGTTATTCCAAGCTAATTTTGGTGCTACCCGACAAGTCGAGCGATGGAACCGGTAAACCTGTCGAGGCATCGATGGACGTGGATCATCGGGAACGTTCCGGCGATGCCACCGATGCCGCCTCGGCAGCGACGCAACAGCTACAAACAACAACAGCTCGGCACGTTCGGCGTTGGGTAACGCCGCCCTGGAGAGGGGTACAATAAGAGGCGGCGTTTCAGGCAACGGCCCTTAATCACAGCGGACAGCGTGATGACGTCACTGAGGAATGCCTGAAAAAGATGAACGCGGCTCCCGGCCAGGAGTCGAACTTGGGTTGCGGGACGTTGCCACGCACGCAAGAGTGCTACCCTAGCGGGGAGCTGGTGAGACTCATCTGCATGTGAAAATGTCTACGACAAAGAACGGGAGGGGGGAGGAGGGGGTGGAATGGGGGGGGGGCACGGCACTTTGATGTGCTCATGAATGCGTCTATGAGCCGTTAGTACCCCAGTGCGCAATCTCAGCGCCACCCCTCCCACAGCAGCTATAAGCCCCCCTCCTCCCCCGACCCCCCCCCCACCTCCCTCCCACTGAGCAGCTCAACCTCACCGCAGCCCCCACCTCTCCCCTTTCATCCCCCCCAGCCCTCCCTCACCACCCCCCTCCCTCCCTGCGGCTGCCTCTCCCATCCATACCGGCCCATCAGTCCGATCGCACCTCTGTGCCTCTCTCCGTTTCTCTCACTCACAACCAGCTCACCCTTCTCCCCCCTCTTCCAGCGAGTTGCACCATGTTTTTCCACTGGCACACCCGAGCCGAGCCGTCTATACTATTTGGCTGCTGCTATAAATGACCACGTGATGATATGTGACTTCGTTGGGCTATCATTTTTGTCCAGGTCGCTTCTGCAAAAGAACTGTATAAACTAAAATAATATTTAAATACAATTCCAGGTAAGGCCCACTGAGCTATGTAGCTCTTTTTCAGAAGCGACCTGGCCACAAATGATAGCTCAACGAAGTGGCTCATCACGTGACAGTTTATAGCAACCAAACGCGTGATGTTGATTCTAAATGTGGAGGGAAAAACCGAAGGACCCAGAGAAAAAATCCACACAACCATGGAGAGACATGCGAAAACTCAAAATATACAGCAGGCATCAGGGTCGGGATCGAACCCACGACCTCCTGTATACCGGGCAAAGTAGTTAGCATCTCACCACCGTGGTTCAGTGGGCCTTACCTGGTAAAATAAAAAAATAGTTTCGTTTAGAGCTGGCGTGGGGCCTTCACGGTAAAGGCGATTTCCCACTGGCTGTTTGCTGTGCTGGATCGGAACCCAAATGTGACTTGCCGTACCAGCGTGGCCCCCACATTGAGGGGGACCCTGCAACATCATGGCTACTGACCCTCACCATCAACTCCCCGACCCCACCACCCAGACCTCCACGTGGTGAGGGCCCTTTTCCCAGCGGCTCGCAAAACCACGCCACGTTAAAGATTAAGTGCAATCGCTCATCATAGCATTCCCAGCTCACTCGATGTTACTCTGCCCTCTGTTTTATGGCCGCATCGTGTTTGCTTTTCGTGAGTGCTTCGATACGATTTGTGTTCAGCCTGATCCGCTCTGATTGCACGCATTCTGATGGTTGCATTGCATATTTCTCTGCTTGCCTGTCCCAGCTCTGTATGCTAGTTCTGTACCACACTGCTCTGCGGTCACCTGTGCCCCTTTTCCGCTGGCACATCAGAGCCATGCTACGAGCCGTTTTCCCACCGGCTGTTTGCCCCACCGAGCCAGACCCAAACCGCGCTACGCTCACCTTACCCAACATCCGAATCTTGAGTCAGGGCCAAGCAGGGCCAGGGGAGGGACTAATCACGTATTCATTGGAGGCGAGATGTTAACTACCTCGCCTGTTATAGAAGAGGTCGTGGATTCGATCCCGACCCTGAGTGTGCATGTTCTCCCCATGGTCACGTGGATTTTTCTCCAGTCCTCCGGTTTTCTCCTCCACATTTAGAATCACCATCGTGCGTTTCGAGTGTTTGGCTGCTATAAAGTTCCCCACAATAAACCGCTTCGTTGAGCTATCACTTGCGATAGCCAGGTCGCGTCTGGAAAAAAACTACATAGCAGCTCAGTGGGCCTTACCTGGTAAAATAAAATAGTGTTCATAGTTTAGTTTCACTGCGTGTGACGTTAGTCGGCAACGCGGCTCAAACGCGGCCGTGTCCTCCAACTCGTGAGCGGACTCGTTCACCGCGGAAAAAAAAACAGCCCGACGGCTCCTGAGCGCACGCCGGCGAGTGCAAAATCTCTCGTTGCCGTGGAGACGGGAGGATGGCGCAGCGGTTGGCGCGTGAAGCCGGCGACCCGACCTCCGTTTCCCGGACAACGGCCAACATCGGTCGCGGGCGATTGCCGAAACGGTACCTGCGCACCGAACCCTCATTTCTCGTACGTATGTTGAACTTCTTTCGCAACGTACGTAGTCAACCGTGCTACATCGGAGGCTCAAACCCGCACACGGACCAGAGTGGTGAAGTACGTCAGAGACGCTCGGCTAACAAACGGCCTCCCTCCCTCTGCAAGGCCCGAGCCTCCTCCCGGCACGAACGGAAGTGCTCTCTACCCCGAACGCTGCGCCAGAAGCCACCGCCTCTGCGGGACGCGACCGCTGTAATACGTTCCTGGAAAAGTTTCAAAGGGGTTTTACTGCAGCACTCAAGCCGCGCCTCGCGACAGCTAAATGGCCCGGGCGAGTGCTATTAGCGAGCATCTGCTCAGGTTGGTACGTCGCAACAGGTGGGGGTGTCGCCGAACCCACGCGCCAGCCGGATTCACCTACGCCAGCGCCGATGTTTACACGCGGCATCAGCGGCATCAGCGGCATCAGCGTGTAAACATGTATATGGCCGAGCCGTCTAAGGGGGTGCCCATTGCCAATTTAGATCATCACTCGCCACTGGCGTTAGCCGTGGCCGGGAACTGAACTGGGATCGTAGGGTTCGTAGAACGGTGCGCCAACCTCCACCCACGCAGAGACGGACACGCACACAAACAAAAAAGACAAAGTTCCCCCATATAGCCTTTAACAGACTGTTGAGGAAAGTGCTGTTAATGAGCACATATGAAGGCCGAGACCACCCTTGCTTCGCCAAT